CCCGACATCTGCCGAAGAATGGCCGAGGCATTGTGTGTCCTTTTGTGGAGATTGAGGTGGCTGGAGCTGAGTATGACAGCACCAAGCAGAAGACAGAGTTTGTGGGTCAGTCTGTCTTCCCAGTCATCATCCTCCTCCTCCTCCTGGGGGCACCACAAGGCCCTCTCCACCAGTCATCCCATCCTCTCCAAGGGTCACCTGAAGCCTTTTGTTGTTGCCTTCACAGTGGACAATGGACTCAACCCTGTATGGCCGGCCAAGCCCTTCCACTTCCAGATCAGTAACCCTGAATTTGCCTTTCTGCGTTTCGTGGTGTATGAGGAAGACATGTTTAGTGACCAGAATTTCCTGGCTCAGGCTACTTTCCCAGTAAAAGGCCTGAAGACAGGTGAGGACCATTCCTGGAGGCAGTGCCCCTGTGATCTTGCTGCCAGGGTGGGGCTGGGCCCCTTGCTCTGTCCCTCCTGGGCTGAGGACCAGGGTTTCCTCCTCTTAGGATACAGAGCAGTGCCTTTGAAGAACAACTACAGCGAGGACCTGGAATTGGCCTCCCTGCTGATCAAGATTGACATTTTCCCTGCCAAGGTATCTGCAGCAGGAGTGGGCTGGCCTGAGGTGGGTGGGAGGAGAACAGGCAACACCCTCCTGAAGTGCAGAAAAGTCACTGACCCTCTTCTGCACTTGCCTTCATTGAAGCAAGAGAATGGTGACCTCAGTCCCTTCAGTGGTACATCCCTGCGGGAGCGAGGCTCAGATGCCTCAGGCCAGCTGTTTCATGGCCGAGCCCGGGAAGGCTCCTTTGAGTCCCGCTACCAGCAGCCATTTGAGGACTTCCGCATCTCCCAGGAGCATCTCGCAGACCATTTTGACAGTCGAGAACGAAGGTGAGGGAGATGGAGGGGTGCTAGAGCCAGCAAGGCTGTGGCTAGGTCCTACTTCAGTGTTTCTTTCTACTGGGTAGAAAAGTTGTAATACTGTCTGGCTTTGGGCTGTCCAGTTGACACTCTTCCCTTCTGTCCAGGGCCCCAAGAAGGACTCGGGTCAATGGAGACAACCGCCTCTAGTTGTACCCCAGCTTCACTGGAGAGCAGCAGGTGCTGTGCACCTCATGGAATGCCGTGAACTGGGTTCTTTGGAAGCAGCCTGCTGTGGCGGCCTTCCAGGTCTCACAGCCTGAAGCCTGGATTCCAGCAGTGAATGCTAGACAGAAACCAAGCCATTAATGAGATGTATTACTGTTTTGGGCCTCCATGCCCCAGCTCTGAGTGAAGGCAAAAACTGTACTGTGTCTCGCATTAAGCACACACGTCTGGCCCTGACTTCTGGAGATGGATCCTTCCATCTTGTGGGGCCAGGACCACAGCCGAAGCCCCTTGGAGAAGGAGGGCACCTCAGCCAGTGGCACAGGAGGCTCCAAGGAGCCACTGACATTCCTAAGAGTGGAGGAGGAGGAGGAGCCTTGCTGGGCCAGGGAAACAAAGTTTACATTGTCCTGTAGCTTTAAAACCACAGTTGGGCAGGATGAAAGGCTAGATGCCCCTGCAGTTTGGCCCTGGAGCCAGGGCAGAGGAGTGTGGGGTCTGTGTGGAGAAGGGCTCTGCCCTACCTGAGGAGGAGGACACAGCACAAGGGCACATTGCCCATGGCTGGGAACATGACCCAGCCTGAAAGATACAGGGGATCATGTTAAAAATAGCAGTATTATTTTTCTTCTCAATGGTATTGTAACTAAGTTATTTACTCCTCCTGCTCCTCACCCTTGTAGGGAAACCTTGGAGTAGAGCCTTGGAGAGGAGAGTGGCAGGTGGGCTGCCTGCTGTGTTAAGAGGGCTCAGTTTGTGATGTTAAGGCACTGTTAAGAATGGGGTGGGGGGTGGGTGGGAAGAGAAGCAATAGCAAAGCCTATTTTGGTGAGGTTTTTTTTTTTTTTTTTTTTTTTAAAAGAAAAGCTGACTTGATATGCTTTCCCTGAGGAAAGAAAGGAATTGAGATGCCTGCCGCTTGGGTGGGCAGGGTAGTACAGGCAGCTGGGTGCTGAATGAAGCTGCCATGCTTATTGCAGCTTCTGTCTAACTGGTAAAACAAAATGATCTAGGGATGGAGATGGGAAGGTTAGAAAGGCAGCCCCCACCTCTGAGGACAGAGGCTGGGGTCCAGGCCCGTGGGTGCAAAGGTGCCTCAGCATAGCCAGCATTCAGCACACACAAACCTACTGCCCATATTTGGGCTCAGGGTTGGCCATTTGCTAGTTCTGCTGCCCTCTTAAGATCTGACTGCCAAATAAATCATCCTCATGTCCTTTTTCCTTTAACTTGTATGCTCTTTTGGTGGCTCAGGAAAGCCTGTTATCTGGGGACATACTCACCAGATGATTCTGCAATAGAAGCAGGTGGGACGTTTCTGGAAACTTTTCAGGTTAAGCAGCTGTTACCTTCTCTGGGCTAACAGGAATTGTGGGGCCACCTTCTCTCCTGCCCATCCTTCCAACAGAGTACATCTGCCTGGGTTCCTGGCCAGCCAGCTTTGGTGGTGATCTGGAAACCACCACAGCCCGTTTCCAGTTCCACAGAAACCTCTCCTTTCAAAACTGATGCATTCAGTTAACATTGCCAGGTGCCATTCTGGTTGCCTCTATGACTTGGCAGCTGAAGTCTCTGTGCCCAGAACATGGTTGAAAGGTCCTTCTCTTCCCGAGGCTCTGTTTTCATCATATTTTGTGCAGGGATGGAACAAAAATGATACCACACAATTTAAGATCTGGTTCCATGGATGACATGAACTGATAGTATCAAACAGTGATAGTGCTCAGGTTCTTGTGTGACTTTCTTCTAGAGCTTCACAGTCCCAGCTCAGAGAGAGGAGGGTGACCTTTTCCCATACAACTGAAGAAGGTGGTGGATGGGAATTCACCAGGGCCCTCATGATCCATGTGGTTTTTATGGCCTGAAGAGAGCTTTCCTATCAAAGGAAGAAGACTGTGTAGGCCCTTTTGTTAGGGCTCATGTCATTGGTTAGAACATCTTGGCCTGCTGGTGTTAACCCTTTTTATTTTCATCAATACATATTTCCATTTGCTGAATAAGTTTCTGGAACACAACCTAGGGTAGGAACAGCTTTGCCTTTCTTAAGGCAGCTTTGTAGACCTGAGGCTCATGTATCTTGGGTCTGTAAGACGTTGCCTTTGCCTCTCACTGAAGATGCTTTGATTGTTCTTCCTAGTGGAAAATGTGCCAACTCTTAAGCAAATTTAAACATCATTTTCACTTCAGGATTCCTCCAGACAGGCCTGACAAATGTCAGTTGACCCAGAGGGCCCAAGCAGAGGTGGGGAGTTTTGGTGGGGGGCTTACTTGGGGCTGAATGCTTTGACATCAGGAGGTGTTTGCCTCTCCCCATGCCTGCAGGCCATGTCCCTACAGTGCGACAGCTTGGGTAGCACTGCCTTCCACCTGCTGGGTTATGACACGTGGCGTCTCAACCCTAACAGCACATTAGACATTAGCACCACCTGGGGAGCTTAAGGTACCTGGGGCCTTAGCATAGGTCAAAGACCAAATTGGTCAAAACCTCAAGGTGGACTTAAGTAACAAGGGTTGAAAAGCTGATTTTGTTAGAGCAAACCAGGGCTGGGAGAGGGAAGTCAGTGGTACCAGAAGGCAGATGGGCTCCCTAGCAGGCTCCTTGCTCTCCTGTTATTACCAATAGAACCTTTGGGCTGACAGACCAGGGACAAGCAGACTGGGCTCAAAGTGACAGACCTCACTTTCAACAGCTTTGACACAGATATGTACACATAGAGCAGAGCTTACAAAGTCAGGGGCGTTCTGCCCCCTGCCACAGGACTAAAGGTTGTCCTGTGGGACAATGGCAGGAGCAGTTTCTGACCTCAGTTGAGTATGTATGGCCATAAGCAGAAAAGGCAGGGGTCTCCTGACCAAGCACATCTTGAACATCACCTGGGAGCTGGGCCTGGGACTAGAAACTCACTTGTCTATCAACTTAAGCGCATCACTCATCCTATCAGTTCTGTTGAGGGCAGATAGAAAGCAAGTAGGCTTAGGTTATCCCACCAGACTAACTTGGTGAATGAAAAGGATTCACACATTCTTTACATTTTAATTAAATGGATCAAGCACAGTCTCAGCCTAAGACTTCTGTTTTCCCTAGGTCCTTTAGTAATTCCCAGGGCACTCGTGCCTAGGGGTTAATCTAGGCATTCTGTTCCTGCCTGGAGGCCACTGCACTCACCCAGTAACGCCGCAGCAACCCCGTGGCTAGCCACTCCAGCGAACTCCACCCACAGTGTCCCAAGTGAGCCATTGCTTAAGTCTGCCCACTATGGCATTCAGTTGATTGATTGGCTTTGCCAGTTGCATGCCACTTTGGTCTAGCTTCCAAGGACCTGGTTTTTGGGATTCAACACAGCTGCTTCCCCAAGACAGAAGCTGGCCTCTGGAAGGGCCAGGAATAGGTCCTTCTTATTCTGGTGTCCAGAATCACTGCCTGGCTCCACTGTAGGTGATTTCATTTTAAAGGTACCTTTTTTTCCTTCTGCCACAGGCCTTCGGGGCCACCCTGACAAAATTCAATTGCTTTGGATCTTAGAAGCTGGGGATCTTTAATCCTGCTTTTGGATCTTTAATCCTGTTTCTCAAGAAGGCCCCTGGGTCCTTATGCATATTCACTAACCCCCATCAGCAAATGACAGGCTCTACTTTTCAGCACTCTAAACTTGCCAGTGTCCTCTCACCAGATGATAGCAGGTTTGGCTGTTTGCCTTTGTCTATTTAACATAATTTCTAAAACATCACAGTTCTTTTATGTAGAAGCCAGTGTAGTGAACTCAGCAATGCAGGAGACAGTGAATTGGAACTTCGCTAGTGAGCTGAGGGAAACTGCCACACTTATCCACTGGAGTTTAAGATCCACAGAAGTGGGCAAGAAGTGAAGTGTTTTTTGGCGTTTTTTCCTGACTTCCCCACAAAATAAGTCAGCAGATGTGAAATATATTTATGTTTTTATTTAGGAACAATCAAAAGGTTTGAAGTACCATTGAAGTCCACTTCAAATTGTACAAGCATTTGTCCCTGTTCCCCTCCCTTATCCAAATCCACAGATACAAAATCTAGGAAATGTGCAATTTGCATCTTAGAAATAGCAGCATCCCCACAGGGGACCTCATGAGGCCTGGAGATTCAGCCCCAAGAGGGCAGCCCCACTTCTGCCTCAGCACAACCACAGTCCAAACCAAAGTTGACTTCCATTTTTGTTGTTAAAACATTTACCCAGGGTAAGGAATTCCCATTCTACCCAAGGCTTAAGTGATAAGAGTATGCCATTTCTCGGTTCAGTCTCACACCTGGCCATGGCAGGAGATGGGACCCTCTTGCAGAATTTGGCTAAAGTTTCGTTGTGCCTCAGGACAAACAAAAACAGGGCAGTTGCCTCTTACTTGTTTAGCACCAAGATGATCACCTCTTCAGCCATCTCCGCTGAGAGCAGACTGCTCAACAGTCACTCCCCAGTCTGAACTGCCTGGCAGTCTGGCCACAGGGAACAAGGCTTTGTGCTGAAGACCAGAATGCAAATGGGTGCTAGAATACCAGGAATCAAGACCTGGTCAGGAGGCATCTACAGGCCTTTGGCAACCTCCCTGACTTCCACAAAGGCTGCACTCAGTAAAATCTCAATGAACAATGGCCAGCAGGGAAGAGAGGAAGGTAGGCGTGTTTTCTCTTTAATAACAATTATGGCACAATCTGACCCTCCTGACACTGTTGAACAAAGCAACTGCTCAGAAACTCGGCAGGAACTCTCTACATGGGTGACTGCTTCTCCCCTGGCCCTGACCCAGTCTAACAGGAAACAACCCGATTGTCGTACTGGGTCCCTGCTGAGGAGTGGGTGCTGGCGTTCCCCACTCCTGCTGACAATCTCCTATGGGCTCTGGCCCTGTTTCAAGCAAACTGCAAGAATGAGATAGCACTGTATGGGCAGGAACCAGGGATAGTGACAAATCTCCTTAAACACAAATTACAGGATTCATAGGTCCCTTGTGGTAGATTCTTCTTTTAACAGTATTTCTACTCAGGTTTGACTCTTGGGAAAGACCAAGCAGTTGTAGCTCTCTATATTTAGTGAGTGAACAGCCTGACAGTTCACCTTTAACTCCAGTCACATTAATTTTGAATCATCCATTTATGGAAAGGAAACAAAAGCTAAAAAGCATTAACCAAGAAAGACTACATTAACACATACAGGTGCTCCTCTGACACATGAGATTGTCAGCATGTACACACATACACACACTTCAAGCTGGTCTCCTGAAGTAAGAGGCACTAATGGCAGGTAAATGCTCAGGCTCCTCTCAGTACCCCGGCACTCACCGCCTATCCAAGCAGACAGCAGGAAGGTGCCTGGAGTCCCCACCAGAGTGGCTGCCTTTCTCCCTTCTCCCTTGGCCCAGTTCCTGCCAGAGCAGCCAGAAAAGCCAGGTTCTGAGGGCTGTAGAAGCTTGGGACCAGCAACAACAAGCTGGTAACTATACATTCTTTATCATCCTCAAAGTCCTGCAAACCCAAAGATAGGACTTTCAAAAACTGAGGAAGTGAGTGTTTGCCCCTATCCTTGTCCATATGGTAACCAGGGTCTGCCTAGTCTCATTCCCAGCCTCTGGGTTCCCTCCTACACTCCAGACTTCAGGGCAGTTAGAATCCTGCTGGGATCTAGGGCTAAATAGAAACTTCTCTGTCATATTTCCAGTCTGATGAAGGACTGGGCCCCCATTCAAAGAGCTCAGGAAAAAGAACCAAAAAGGAGAGTCTCAACCCCTCTCTAAGGCCAGATGCTCTATGTACTCCCATTAACTGCACAACCAAGTGCAGATGCTCGGCGAATTCAGAGACACCTTGGGTTAGCCCTGCCCCACCTCTCCTAGTGTGACCTGGCACTGGTAACACAAATTGCAGCAGAAACCTGTTGGTTCCATTTGCACTCGAAGCAAACCAGCACCCTGGTTGCCACTTTTCATCCAGCCACTCTGTCGAAATCAAAACTGGTTGCCTCACCAGTCCTGGTGTGTCATGGCTCAGCCATGTCCCTGCTCCATTTAAATGGGCCAGAGAAAACTACACGGTGGGTACATTAGGTTGAAGCCTTACGTGGGGAAGGGACTTGAGCACAGGAGAAAGGCTTGAGCTCCACAACTCCCTCCCTGCTCAGGCACTGGAGCTTTTTTGAGATCAAATGCTCCCCAGGCCACACAGGGATGCCCCCGCCACTCCATGGTCTGGGCAGGCTGGCTGAGAGAGATCTGTGCTCTCAGAGACAAGGAGAGAAGGAAACTGGGTCAAGAGACCCTGAAGAGGAGGGTCCATGTCTGGAGTGAGGGGAACTGAGCCCTGCTGGCTACCTGACCTGGGTGGACTGCTGGCTTTGCCCTGGAAGAGTTGACTACATAGACCTTCATGTGTCTAGAAGATTTTTCTTCTCCAACGTATAACTATCTTGAAAATGGATGTGATATGTGAAAATTTAAACTTAATACAAAAGCACATCTTCTGCAAATGGTGAGTCAAACTGACAAAATCTCCCAGGTAAACTCTGACCAGGAAAAAGAGACATGACTTTAGGAAAATCCCAAACTAGGTTTGGTTTTAAAATTTTCTTGGCCAGGCAAGGTGGCTCATGCCTGTAATCCCAGCACTTTGAAAGGCCAAGGTGGGCAGATCACAAGGTTGTGAGATCGAGACCATCCTGGACAATGTGGTGAAATCCCGAATCTACTAAAAAAATACAAAAATTAGTTGGGTGTGATGACGTGCGCCTGTAGTCCCAGCTACTCGGGAGGCTGAGGCAGGAGAATCACTTGAACCCCAGAGGCGGAGGTTGAAGTGAACAGAGCTCTTGCCATTGCACTCCAGCCTGGCAACACAGTGACTCTGTCTCATAAGAAAAAAAACAATTTCTTGTCTGGCTCTCCTCTCCTGCAAGTTGCCTTTATCCACTTGGGCTGTGATATCTGAACTGAAAAGGCTGCACCAATCTGAGGATGTTGGTCCAAGAAGAGACAACGAAAAAAGAGGCCACAAGGCCCAAGCAGGGAGCATCCACACAGAGCTGAAGGAGGGAGTATGCATATAGTATCCAACCACAAAAGCCAGTGTCCTTCCTCCATAAAAGGCAGCCAAGAGGGAGAGGGAGAGAACACAGGACCTGCAACTAGGTCACTCACTAAGATAAAACCCACAAGGGCCACATCTCAGGCTAGAGAATACAAAACTTCCTGATGGGACAGCCTCCCATGGCCAGCTGGAGATGAGATCACTAGTACATGTGGGAGTCCATAAGACACTATCCCATGTTCTATCCAATTTCCTCCTTGTGCTACTAGAGAGCAGGGTGCAGAGTCCTTGTGTCAAGGTGCTTTGGTCCTCCAGAATAGCCACCTGTCACTCAGCCAAGAGAAAGGAGCTTTAAGTTGTACAATCACTACCAAATCACAAAGCCCTGGCAAGCCATCCAACTAGGGCATTCTTTTTCAGGAACCCAAGATTCTCAAAAATGGCACTCCTCCCTCCCAAAGTAAAAAAGCTCCTTCACAGTCAAAAACACAAGTAATCAAAATATACAAAGCATATGTATCAAATTTAAATTTCCTTTATCAGAATGATGATCTGGCTTCACCTATGAGAACTGGATCTACATGTAAAAAACAAACAGGTACAAGACGTCAGCAACAAAAAACACTAAAAGATGATTTTACTATCTCTGATGAGTCCAACTGCATATAGAGAAAACAGATAAGAGTAGCCACTTTTCATAGGCTTTTCTTCTGAAGAGACTAACCCCATCCACCTCTCAACTCTGCAGCCCACAAATGCCTTCTACTGACGGCAACAACACAACCCTTCAGCAGTGTGCAAAACCACAGTCAGCTGTCTTGTGACAGGGCTACATACCTGGCTGCCACCCCACATCCCCCACTGCCACTGGGCTAGTGTGGGTGTGCCTCTGTGAATGATGCTGCATTCAGGGTTTTGCCCCCAAACCCTTGAGTACCTCCTACAACATCCCTTTAAGCACCTGCCTGATGACTGCCTCCCTCATCATCACTGTTAATCATCTTTCAAGGTTAAGGTCTAGACCATACTCACTCATTCTCATCCAAGAGGAGGGGAAGAAGGGTCTGTCCAGCCTGCTGGGCTCCTTACATGGGCATTCTTGCCTTTTGTGGTATAGCCCTGGCTGTTGGGCAGGGCCAACATCTGTAAGAAAACCATGCCAGGGCAGGCAGCACTGTACTTTTCCTCCTGAAAGATGAGCTGGTGCCCATGGCTGGGACACTCTCTGTCCTGCATTAACTTGTCCACCAACTGTGTTTTGCTGTTTGGGTTGTAAATTAAATGTAAATACAAATAACCAATAAAATCCTCTCCACAGACCAACTCCTCAGCCAGAGCATGCAGGGCTCTGGAGGTGATGCCAGCAGGATTTGGAGGTGAGGCACTGGGTGGTTTCTCAGACACCTGGAGATGGCTTCCACCCCAGCCACCTAGTGCACTGGCATCCCTCTGTCACAGGCTACTTCCCCAACATCCGTGTGCCACCAAGTTTCTCAAATGCACGCGCCAGATGCACATTTTATGAGAATCAAATTATACTCTGTGTGTGTGTGTGTGTGTATAAATTAATCTGCATGTACATAAACACTAAAAGGAGAAATTCCAAGTGTCTGTTCTCTGGAGGAAAGCAATCACTCGCCATTCCTGGCAATTCCTAAAAGGTTTTTGACACCAAAAATCTTCACTCCCCAAACGGTAAGAATACAAAAATTGGCTGGCAAAACTTGCTAAGTACTTACAGTCCATTTGAAAGAAATAAGATGTGGTCCCTATTGGGATGGGGAGGGCAGAAGATGACACTTTAGAAGAACATGATTTTGGTTTCCAAAGAAGCCCTCTCCTGGAAGGCAGGAGGGGCTACCGCCATGCTTGTCTTTAGAGCCACATGAGAATGCTGCCCTGCCAGGTCCAGTTCCCTGGGACAGGGGAGGACAGTCCCTAAACTACCACTAGTGCTTCTTGCCCAAAGCCTCTGCCCTCTCTCTGGGGTCTTCTAGCACTGTCACCCAGCCAGCCCAGGAGCTGTCTGTGCCAACAAGGCCTGGCACCTGTGGCTTGGCACTCTGGGAAGCAGGTGATTTCTCAGAGGTGAGCGGAGCTATAGGTGGACAGGTCTTTAGTTCACCCCTCTTTACTTGCCACTCTCAGAGCAGCTGGTCTTGGGAAAATTGGGGATTTACCATTTAGTACAGCTCTGTAAGCATGTTTTCTAATTTTCAAAGGCACCCTTTCCTGTAATTTTCTCAATTCAAAAAAGGACATGAGGGTTAGGCTAAAGTAGAGTTCTTGTTTCCAAGTTTGGGGATATAAATATAGAATTTTAAAAGCATCTTCACAAGGACCAGTGATGCCCAGCACCCTCAGGTGTGCATCCAGCACACCAGCCAGGCCCTGGGGTGGGAGCCAGGGGCACTCTGGGTGTTCTGCCAGGGAACCCTGCATACAAGTCTTTGTGCTAAAGACCACCCTACCTCTGACAATTCCAAGAAGTGAACAAATCCCTTCAGCCTTCACTTTTACTAATGGGACAGTGTGTTCTTCCTTCCCAAACCATAGGAGGCTCTGAAATGAGTGTGGAGAAAGGGCTCTGAAAACCACAGTGGTCAAAGCTACAGGCTATAGACTTCCACTTACATCCCCACCCCATTTCTTTTTTCCATCTTCCTCTCACTCCAAACATGTCTAGATTTAAAAAAAAAAAAATTGCAGGCACATAGGTCAGCAGATTAGGCTTAACAACACATGTTTCTTCAGTTGATCTGGCAACTGAAAAGTTAGGGTCCATGATTCAAACTCCCGTGAAATAGCAGAATCACGGTAACAACTAAAGACAGTGGTAAAGCATCCAACATTAATCACATTGCCAGTCCGTTTTTTGAACGGAGGGTTACAGCAGGTTCTGCACTGAGTAGCCCACAAGGCAAACCAAGCCTGGCATGAAATGTTAGCTGGTCACCATTTAATGCAGCAGAGATCCCTTCAAAGGTACTGCTTCCTTGAGGAACACAAAGAGGGCACTAAGGGGTTCCAGATGTAGCTTTGAGTGTGCCTATAACTTCCCTGCCTGACTGTGGAAGGTAAGGGGCACCTGTGACCCAGCGATCCCCAGAGAACAGACACAGGTCATTTTGAGAGATGATGTAAAGGACAATGCATTGCTTGGCTAATCAAAGTTTCTATGTAATGACAGTGTTGATAGTCTGATGTTTTATTTAACATATATAGGTAGACGTATACTTTAAAAACTTGATTCTGTGTCTATGAATATGAATATGAAATCTGAACTATTTTATCCATTGGAAGGTAAAGGAAAGGTCCTACATTGTGGGAGGAAGAACTGATGAGAACCCTGTCTTCCTTGCTGCTTGCTTGGTGGTGGGCAGGCCAAGGATAGCGGCAGGCTCTGGGCTGTCTGCGAGGACTCCGGAAGCTTTCTCAGGTGCCCAGCAGCTGGGCATGTGGCAGCAGAGAGTTGGGTTTGGCTCTTCCACGTGGCAGGCGGTATCCCAGACTGGCCAGTCCTTCACATTAATCAGATCAAATTCAGTCTGTTTCTGAGAAGAAAACACATGCCTGTCACTCCACAGCAGCTGCCACCTGTGGTAGCCCCCAGAGTAGCCTGGCCCTTGCTATACCAGGGCGGCATCACTGGCTTTGAGGACCTCTTAATTCCATGAGCAATGCCCTTCTGCCAGCCACTACCCCACCCTCCAGCCTGAGGGAATGTGGGTTAAGGACAGGATGCTGGCTCAACCTGGCAAGGCTATTAGACTCTCTGAGGGACCTTGCCAGGCCCCAGGCCTAGCAGCTGGAGCAGCAGTTTGGCCTCTCCAGTTCCACTAAATCCCCCAGTTCCCCAGGCTTCCACTACCACCATCTCTGGCGCCCTGTCCTAAAATGCTTCATCCTGCCGTCTCCCTCCAGGCTCTCCAGAGCATACTGTTTCAATATAATAGCAGCTAGGTCTAGTTCTGATATGTATTCTACTGATGCCTTCACTTCACTTCACTTCATTTGCAACTTGAAACCCTAAAGTCAAAGTCACAGTAAGGCTGATATCAGAGAGGTTCATCATCTGTGATTATAGAGATATGGCCCTTAATTGCAGCTGGCTGAGAAAGCCATGAGAAACCAGGTACAGATAAACAGAACAACCCTTCCTGTACCCAGAGTTACCTGTCTCAGATAGAAGAGGACAATGTCAATGGCATGGCCACCCCCTCCCACTCCTCCTCTGTCGGACAGCAACATGTCACTTTGTGTTGGATTTAGTAGCTGAGGGGAGCCAATGCTTGTGATCACACCACTCATCACATTTTCATTTTAAAAAAAAAAAACCATGGTAAAATATAAATAACATAAAATTTACCATTACAACAATTTTAACTGTACAATTCAGTGGCATTAAGTATATTTACAATGTTATGAAACCATCACTCTATTTCAAGAAATTTTTCATCATCCTAAACAGAAATTACATATCCATTAAACAATAACTCCCCATGTCCTCCTTCCCTTAGCCCCTGTAACATCTATTCTACCTTCTATCGCTATGCATTTACCTATTCTAGACACCTCACATAAGTTGAATGGTACAATATTTGTCTTTTTGTCTGACTTATTTCACTCAGCAAAAATGTTTTCAAGGTCCATCCATGTTGTAGGATGTATCAGAATTTTATTCCTTTTTTTAGCTGAAGAATATCCTACTGTATGTCTACGCACCACATTTTGTTTATTCATCTGTTGATAAGTACTTGGGTAGTTTCCACCTTTTGGCTACTGTGAATAATGCCACTAGGAACGCTGGTATACAGGTACATGTGAGTCCCTGTTTTCGGTCCTTGGTGTGTATATCTAGGAGTGAAACTGCTGGATCATATGGTAATTCTATATTCAACTTCTTGAAGAACTACCAAATTGTCTCCCAAGGTGTCTGTACCATTTTATATTCCCACTAACAATGCACAAGGGACCCAGTTTCTCTACATCCTCCCAACACACTATTTTCTCTGGGTGTGTGTTTGTAACAGACTTCGTAAGTGTGAAGTGGTATCTCACTGTGGTTTTGATTTATATTTCCCTAATGCCTCATGTTCATCATCTTTTCATGTACTTATTGGCCATTTGTATATTTTCCTATGAAAAATGTCTGTTTAAATCATTTGCCCATTTTTGATTGGTTTTGTTGTTGTTTTAGGAGTTCTATACATATTCTGAATATCAATCTCTTATCAGATGTATGATTTTCTCCCATTCTGTGGGTTCTTCTCATTGTTTTAACAGTGTTCCTTGAAGCACAAAATTTTTAGATTTTGATGTAATCTAAATTATCTATTTTTTTCTTTTGTTGCCTCTGCGTTGGGTATATAAGAAATCATTGCCTGGCCAGATGGGTGGCTTGTGCCTGTTACCTCAGCACTTTGGGAGGCTGGGAGGAATGCTTGAAGTCAGGAGCTCAAGACCAGCCTGGGCAACAGCAAGATCCTGTCTACACACACACACAAACACACACACACATAAAATTAGCCAAGTGTTCACACTTGTAATCCTAGCTACTCAGGAGGCTGAGATAGGATGATTGCTTGAGCCCAAGATTTTGAAGCTTTGATTGTACCACTGCACTCCAGCCTGAGCAACTGAGCAAGACCCTGTCTCAAAAAAAAACCAAAAAACAAAAAACAAAATTATTACCTAATAAAAATCTAAAAAGATTCTGTTTCATTCTAGGCATTTTATAGTTTTAGCTTTTTTGTTTAGGTCTTTGATCCATTTTATATACATTTCTGTATATAGTACCAGTTAAGAGTACAACTTCATCCTTTTGCATGTAGATATCCGGTTTTTCCAGCACCATTTGGTGAAAAGACTGTCTTTTCCCACTGAATGGTCTTTGCGCTGTCAAAAATCAATTGACCATTATGTGAGGATTTCTGGGCATTTTATTCCATTGGTTCTATATGTTTCTCCTTATGCCATTACCACACTGTTTTGATTATTGTAGCTTTGTAGTGCAATTTGAAATCAAGTGAGTATGACTCCTTCCACTTTGTTCTTTCTCAATTTGTCTATCTGGAGTCCCCTGAGATTCCCCCCTGAGATTCCATATGAACTTTAGGATGGATTTTTCTTTTTTAATTGATAGTTTACATATTTATGGGGTACATGTGAATATTTTTTACATGCATAGAATGTGTAATGATCAATTCAGCATATTTGGGGTATCCATCACCTTAGTATTTATTATTTCTATGTGTTGGTAACATTTCAAGTCCTCTCTTCTAGCTACTTTGAAATATACAATACATTGTGGGTAACCACAGACTTGTCTGCTATTTAACATTAGACTTTGTTTCTTCTATCTAAGGTAAGTTTGTACCCATTTACCAAACTCATCATTTCCCCTTTTTACTCTCATGCCCTTCCCAGCCTGTACTATCTTTCATTCTATTCTCTATCTCCATGAAATCAAGTTTTTTTTTTAGCTCCCACATATGAGTAAGAATATGTATTTGTCTTTTTGTGCCTGGGTTATTTCAATGAACATAATGACCTCTAGTTCTATTATTTTTTATCTTTTTAATAATAGCCATTCTAACTGGGATAAAATGATAGCTCACTGTGGTTTTGATTTGTATTTCCCTTTTGATTCATGATGTTGATCATTTCTTAATATGCCTATTGACCATGCGTATGTCTTCTTTTGCAAACTGTCCCCCACTTGCCACCTTTTTCTTTTCTTTTTTTTTTTTGAGACAGAGTCTCTCTCTGTTACCCAGGCTGGAGTGCAGTGGCACAATTACACCTCACTGCAGTCTCAACTTCCTGGGCTCAACTGAACCTCCCACTTCAGCCTCCTGAGTAGCTGGGACTACAGGTGTGTGCCACTATGCCCAGCTAATTTTTGTGGAGACAGGGTTTCACTATGCTGCCCAGGCCAGTCCTGAACTCCTGGGGCTCAAGCAATCCACCTACCTTGGTCTCCCAAAGTGTAGGGATTACAGGTGTGAGCTGCTGCACCCCACCTTTTGCCCACTTTTTAATGTGATTGGTTTTTTAACTTCTTTATATATTCTAGATATTAGTCCTTTGTTGGATGAATAGGTTGCAAATATTTTCTCCCATTTAACATGCTGTCTCTGTACTCTGTTGACTGTTTGCTTTGCTATGCAGAAGATTTTTAGTTTAATATACTCCCCTTTGTCTATTTTTGTTTTAGTTATCTGTGTTTTTAAGGTCTTAGCTATAAAACCTTTGCTTAGACCAATGTCCTGAAGTGTTTTGCACTATGTTTTCTTCTAGTAGTTTCATAATTTCAGGTCTTATATTTAAATCTTTAATCCATCTTGAGTTGACTTTTGTATATGTTGAGAGATACGGGTCCAGTTTCATTCTTTTGCTTATGGATATCTAATTTTCCCAGCACCAGTTGTTGAAGAGGATGTCCTTTCCTCAGTGTATGTTCTTGGCACCTTTGTTGAAAATCAGTTTGCTGTAAATATGTGGCTTTATTTCTGAGTTCTATATTTTTTTCCTTTGGTCTGTGGGTCTATTTTTATACCGATATTATGCTGTTTTGGTTAGTATGCCTTGTGATATATTTTGAAGTCTTTGTTCTTTTTGCTCAAGATTGCTTTGACTACTTTAGCTCTTTTTTGGTTCTGTACAAATTTTAGGGTTTTTCTATTTCTGTGAAAAAACTACATTGGTATTTTGACAGCAATTGCATTGAATCTGTAGACTGCTTTGAGCAGTATGATCATTTTAATGCTATTAGTTTTTCCAATCCATAAGCATGGGATGTCTTTCCATTTATGTCCTCTTCAATTTCTTTCATCAGTGTTTTATAGTTTTTCTTCCAGAGATCTCTCACCTCTTTGATTAAATTTATCCCTGAGTATCTTTTTTTTGGTAGCTATTGTAAATCAGATTACCTTCTTGATTTCTTTTGCTATTTTATTATTGGTTTGTAGAAACTCTACCGATTTTTGCATGTTAACTTTATATCCTACAACTGTCCTGAATTTGCTTATCAGCCTTGAAAGTTTTTTGGCGGAGTCTTTTTGGTTTTTCTAACTATCAGATCATGTCACCTGCAAAAAGGGACAATTTGGCTTTCTCTTTTTCAATTTGGATGCATTTTATTGCTTTCTCTTGGCTGATATCTCTGGCTAGAACTTCCAGTATTATGTTGAATAGGGGTGGTGAAAGTGGGCATCCTTGTCATGTTCCAGTTCTCAGAGGAAAGACTTTCAGCTTTTCTCCATTCAATATGATGTTAGCTGTGAATCATTTATGGTCTTCACTATCTTGTTCTTTCTATGCAGTTTTCTGTGTTTTTTAATCATGTGATGTTGAATTTTATCAAATGCTTTCTCTGTGTTTATTGAGCTGACCATATGATTTTTGCTCTTCATTCTGTTGATGTGATGCATTGCGTTAATTGAATGGTGTATGCTAAATCATCCTTGCATTTTTGGTACAAATGTCACATGATAATAATATTTTTTTTTTCTGAGATGGAGTTTCTGCTCTTGTAACCTGGGCTGGAGCA